CCTCCCCCGGCCGCCACCGCCGCGGCCTCCACGGGCTTCGAGGCGGCCATGACCCGCGCTGCGCTCACACCGCCCGCCGGCAGAGAGAGAGAAGGGTCAGCGGAAACGCGGGGCATGCCGGGAGCGGGGTCAGAGGGAGCACTTCCGGCCGGCGGAGGGCACGGTGGGTCTTGCCCCGCCTCCCTGCATCGGGGCTCGGCGGACGCTGCCACCTGCTGGTGGAGGGGTGCGGCGGCAGGGAATTCTCCCCCCACAGGACATGGTACCGCCCCCTTAAGGGGCTGAGTGGGTTCCAGCAAGGCAGACAAGGGTCCTGGGGTAGATGGCGTCTTGTGTTGCGCACCAGTGATTTAAAATGATACAACCTTAAGTACTACCCTCAAATTTTTGTCATATTAAGTAATTATAATAAATCTGTTAACCCGTAGCACTGACAGGTTATCTGCATCCCACTGGTGGTACCCCTACCACAGGTTGGGAACTGCTGCCTTCCACCAACAGGGCTACAACCCTTCCACCCCGGGAGGCGACTAGGAGGGGGCTCCCCAGTATGGGGGTGCACAGCAGGAGGGTGCCCCCTTGCCAGTGGTGGACACAGAGCAGCAGTGCTCTCAGTCCAAACATGTCCAGAGCCATGCAGAGGGTCCCTGGCACTTAGAGACTGATTCTGAAATTTGTTGTCACGCCTGGGTTGGACTAGGTGATCTCCTGGGGTCCTTTCCAACCTTCCTTTTGTATGATTCTGTGAGAGGCCAGTTTTCTTAGTGGGGTAGTAGCTTTTATTGCACCCACCTTGTATCTGGGCCTGTATGCTCATGCCATGGGATAGAGGTAAACATGCTACACCGTGCAAGCCATTCTGCTTTGGATTTCACGTGGGATTTTTTTTTAAAGGAATACTTGGGTCTTATTATTTGCCTTTGGGCTCATGAAAATTCATGGCAGCCATTCCCAAGCCCTCCTCTTGCAAGCCCCCACAACATGAAGGGTGGCCCATCAATCAGGGATGAAATCTTTATAGGAACTAATCCTTATTTTAAATTGGGTCACCTAGTGCTATTTTCTTTCTTCCTTAGGAAGAGCTTAAGCCATTAGTAGGTAATTCATGGGCATCTCCTTTTTACCCCTGCAGGAGAATGATCGTTTCTAGAAATGAAGGCTTTTTTTTCTGCTCCTTTACAGTCAGTTTTAGGTCTTTTTTCAACAGGACAATATTTTTGTTATTACCAAGAGTGTGAATTTAAAGCAATGTGGTATAATCCTCTCATTCTGATCTAAGTGTATCCACAGGGTAGATTATGCCTTTATCACTGTAGTGGTAAATGTACAACATTTATGAGTACTAAGTAAATGCTTAGATTGTATTTAAGGACATTTCTTTCTTTCTTTCTTTCTTTATTTCTATTAGGCTGGAAAATCCAGCCCCTAGCTGTGCTCAGGGAAATCACTTTGAAATAAAATTAAAAAGGTCCTAACAGCTAATTAGTTTCAGCCAATTCCTATCTCCAGACACCTGGAAAGTTCAACACTACAGTTATATTTTGGCATGGCTCACTCCCCTGAGAAAGATGACTGGCATTGGCTTTTCAGAAGCACTCACCTAAAATGACAAGTTTGTTGCTGAAGCTCATGATTCCCCTTGTTCGACTGAACTACTCAAAAGCAGAAGAAAATGGGGTTTGGCTGTGAAAGTCATTTTTTTCTGGAAACCTCAGTGGAGGGAAAGAAGCATTTTTTTTTGTTGAGGGGAAGAAAGAGGAGGAAGAGATGTAGGAAACTGGCTTGCCTGCAGTCTTTACTGGAAGGAAGGGAGAAGTTGCCAGTGATGATGAAGCTGCTGTGATAGGTGCATTTGACAGTGCTGCCATCAATGTTCCGTGCTGCTATATAGTTTCCCACTCACTGCACACAAAATGTTTTTTTTAACCAAATCGCAATTACTTTCTGAAATAACTTCATATATAGCCACAGAAAACAGCTTTGTAGGACATCCGTGATGCTCCAGCTAAGTGAAGTAGTGCCCTTTGAAGTAAAAGCTTCAGCAATCAGCTGAGTGGCCTGTCCTTCATTCAGCAACTTGCAGTACATTATATGGGATGTGGACCATCCCGATGAATGATGAATATGAATGATCTGAGTTCAACTGTATTGTATCAGTCGATCTACAATTTCTTGAATGATTCTTGTATCGTTATTTCCAAGAAACATAATGCCAAAGATATCAAAACATTAAGGTTGCAGAGGGAATCCCTCAAAAGTCAAGTAATACCAGAATAAGAGTTGTCCGAACAACCTTAACTCTGACCCGCATTCCTATCTGTTAGGACTCTCATGGACCTACATTCCCCTCTATGTCTTTTCCCCTTATTTCACTGCAGCAACCACTGTTTCTTTTCACCTATAGTTTCATAGTTTCACAGTTGGTAGGGTCGGAAGGGACCTGAGCAGATCATCAAGTCTGACCCCCTGCTATGGACAGGAAAGAATGCTGGGGTCAAACAACCCCAACAAGGTGTCTCTCTAGCCTCCTTTTGAAGATCCCCAGGGTAGGAGCGAGCACCACTTCCCTTGGAAGGTGGTTCCAGATACTAGCTGCCCTGACTGAAGTAGTGCCTTCTGATATCTAGCCTGAATCCACTCTCCGTCAACTTATGGCCGTTATTCCTTGTTACTTCCAGTAGTGCGGGGGGAAACAGGGACTCTCCCACTGCCTGTTGGTCTCCCTTGGCCAGTTTATAGATGGCCACCAGATCCCCTCTCAGCCTCCCTTTTTCTCCTTGCCTGTGAAACTGTTGGTCAGCCTAGGGGATGGGAAGAATGACCTTAAAAGTACAGTGCCTTTAGGGTGAACTTGATCAAACTCAGACCTCCAGTTCATGAGATCTTACAATTTCATTTTTTAATGGCTGCTAAGTCCCGTCATTTGTGGGCAAAAAGGCATGGCAGCATGTGCAATGACTCTGGAATGCTTTGTACCCATGGCCATGACCACTGTGTGTTAGAGACCCACAGTATTCTGTACACCCCAGGGGTCAATATTCCCTTAATGGTTACTTTTTTAACTTTCCTGGTCCTCTGTTGCCCTGTTCATTTTCTAGACATTGACACCAGCACAAAGAAAATGTAAAACACTACCAGAACAGAATGGCAGCTGTATTTGAATCTCACTTTGCCCTCAGTTTGTGCTGAGATAAAGAGCTATGCAAGGTGATAGAGCTTCAGGATCCTAGTATCCAGAAGTTATCTTATGTCATCTGGGAAGGCAGAACCTGCCCTCAAACCCTCCCATTACTAGCCCATGTACACTTTTGCAGGACTTTTTCCTATATACCCCTTTATTTATCCTGTTGTACATTTGACCAAAACAAATATGTATGCCAATGAACGGTAGTCAATATTTAGAGGCAGCTTTCTCTGTTCTCAAGTAGACTTGCATTGGGGTGTTAGACTGACCCTTCCGAAGAAAACAAAACTCACTGCAGAGCAGAGATGCCAAACAAAGCCCTTGTCCTGAGTCCATGTCATTCAGAATGGAGAATGCCTGACCACAATTTGTACTATATAGGCATGGGCCTCATTTATCCACAGCAGAACAGATGAAATTGGGGCTCTACTTGTCCTGGGGCCTTCAACCCATTGCACATGTAAGCAGGGGTGGGCCTACTCTGTCCCTGCTTGTGGGAGATTAAATGGCATTGGTGAAAGACAACTTAATGGGGGTGCATGTTGCCTAACTCAGCTTATCTTAATGGAGGATAAGAAGGGTTCTCAGGAGGGTCTTGTTCCTTCTCAGGCACAGCGTATTTTTAATAGCAGAAGGAAAACCAGATCCGATAGGTTTTTGTCTTTTTCCTCCATAGAGTCAGTTAAGCCTCAATGGACAGCTGTGCTAATTTCTGACCATTACCAATATGTTCATTTTGCTTGTCTAAATTACAAGTCTACTACAAATCAGAATGTGCACCTTCCAGGCATGTTACAGTGGGCAACTCTCCATTGTTATTGACAGTTGGTGCACTCAGTGGCAATGAATATGAATTAGGCAACACATTTCCTTTGCCATCCCCTAGGCTGTCACACTGGGCATCTCTGTAATGGAAAGATTAAAAGGAACCTTGTTTAAAATAGATTACAAAGGATTGGCTTGTATATATAGACAGTGCTTAGGGCTGTGAGGGGTGGGGGGTGGTTTCTGGGTGGCGTGTGAAATGACAGCACCTTTCCCTCTTGTTGACAGAACAGACTGTATCTCTAGGCTCAGTAGTGCTGTCTGAGTGGGAGAGTCCCCAAGTCCAGAGTGCCTGTACATGGAATATGAAGAGGATGATGATGTTTCCTTTGCAAAATGGATGAGCAGTTACTGGGGCCACAGCTTAATTGATGAGCATGAGAAAGAGGGCAGAGGCTTTCGGAAACGCCAGTCCCGAGTGTTTAGTGAGAGGAGAGCTTCCCTTCCGGTAAGAGCTTAATTACAGAAAGGCAGGGAAGACTGGAGGAAGGTAAGTGCTTCATCAAGGGATACTGTGGTGATAATGACTATGGTACATGCTGCTGAGTACTTCCCAACTGCGATGCTTGAAAGTGAAAAGTGCTCGGCCACTCTCAGGAGCAAGCCTTTCCTATGTATTTAAGAAAAGAAAACCAGGAAATCCTTAGGTGGGAAACCACAGAACTGCAAACATAATGGTGCTGCCAGTGTAATTACATGGCATACACACCTATTATATTATCACAGCGTAAACATGTTATCAGTGGAAAGCCCTGATCCTGCAAAGACTTGAACATCCAAGGTAACTTTACACGTGAGCTGTCCCATTGTGTTCAAAGATGCTGCTGACATGGGTAACAGTTACATGGGTGTAAACATCTGGGCTTCATTTTGCTGCTCTTCTGAATCAGTCAAAGCAGACAAAGCCTGTTCTGCTTGGCACCAGGATTGCAAAGGTCTCTTCTGGCCTTTGTAGATCTCTGAAACAGAAGATATTAGCTATAACAACTCTGATTACCACATTGCGGGGGGAATCTAGCTACTTTTGCTGTCAGCTTTCTGCATCTGTATCTACCTGCTTTTTTCCCCTATCTGAGCTAAACTGCTGGAACTTTTTCCCTGGCACATGTTGCACTCTGAGGTTATTTGCTGCTGGATCGCATCTGATTTAACTAAACATTCCACTTGGTGGTGTTCAGGTGACAGGTTGAAACTGCAGTCCCATTACACTGGTTTAGAACAGTCAGCCAGGTTCATTTATTTTCAGTTACTTTTACACATTGGGGGGTAGACCCTAGGCTGATGATTCAGTTCTCAGGGGTGTCGGAAACAGAGTGTTTCCATGCAATCCTTGGTTTAGCATGAGATATTTTAGTACAACAGGAAGCTGGTTGGGTTTGTTGCCTCTGAGTTTTGTCTATCTCAGAATTATATTTATGCTAAACCATATATATGTACATGTGTATGTACACAAACACACACAAGTCCTATAACAGGAATGCAGAAAAACTTGTGCTTACATTTAGTTCTGCTCAGGAAAGTGCTCAAGCCTTGGTTTAATGATATGAGGGTGCTGAAATCCTTTATTTCACTGAATAGGGATGCTTTCCTGAATTGGGTGTCCTATGGCTGCTACCTGGCTTATCTTAGATTCTAGAGAGGAAGGAGTGGGATTTATTTTCTAGGGACCCTCATTCTGGTCAATGAGAGTTTTGCTATTAAATTCAATGGGACTAGTACCTGGTTTTTATATTAGTGATCTTGAACAAATATAATGTATTTACTCAAATCCAAGATGAGATAATTTTACCACGCAACATGGGGAGAAAAATCCCCATCTTGGAACTGAATACAAAACAGGTGGCGGGGGGGAGCAGGTAGCTGCTGCAACTCTGACTCTAGTCCTGACTGGGGCTGGAGTTGGAGCCACAGCTACTGCCCCCTCCACCTACCTCATGCCACCCCTGCCCTCCCACCTCCCTGCCCCCTGCTGCCTCTGCCCTGTGTCACCTGTGTTCCCCTGCCTCCCTGCTGCCACTTCTGCCTCCCACCTGCTCCCTCCACCCTCTCCCCACCATTCCCCCTTCATAAAGGCTCTGGCCCCAGTATAGCCTGAGGCACAGAGCACATGCTAGTTTTGCCTCCCCCAGCCAAGTGGGAGGGGGCAAGTCGTGGGGCAGTAGGCACTGAGCGACAGGGAGGAGTTGGCAGGAAGGAGCAGGTAGCATGGGAAGCAGGCACTGCAGAGTGGCAGGCACCAGAGGGTAAAGGCAGGGGGGCAGACAGTGGGGAAGGCCATGGCCAGGTGATGCAGGTGCCAGGGGGGCAGGCACTGCAGGGGGGCAGGCATTGGGGGCAGCAGGTGGCAAGGAGGGTGTTGTGTTCACAGGGCGTACAATGTGAATTAAAAACAAGCCGGAATCTTATCAGGGGATAAGGCACACCGCATTTATTGGAACATAAAACATAAAGCATGCAACATGAAAAGAATAAAGAACAATAAGGTTATATGCTTCACTCATTCTCATGCATACTCATTCATTCATTCATTTATACAAAGAAACAAACACACACACAAAAGTTAGACAGTCCTGCAAAGGTTAAGGTGTTACCAAGTTTCAAAGTTGCTCAAGGTCAGTCTGGTGGCTAGCCAGGCTGACCAAGAGAGTTGGAGTCAGGTCTTGTTGGACGTGCCCAAAACTCCTTCTTGCAGTTGGCAGAGACCCAAAGCCTTGTCTTTGTGTTCATTTTTTATAGTAATAGCTGTTCATAGAGCCTATGGATTCTGCTGAGTCAGATGTGAAGGCATCCTTCTTGTCCTGTTGGCAGGCTGGGATTGGTAGGTCCTGATCTTCTGGCTTTGTGGTCTGCAATCTTCAGGGGCCGTCACTTGCAGTCTTCAGCCATCAGGATGGAGCATGATTTAGTGTTTGGTAATCCTTTACTGCTGATTCTAGGTTGCTGCAGCTCTTAACTGTCAAACCACAGAAGCTATTTTCACCTGCTGCAGGAGGCCTGTCTTTCTGTGTCACTGGCACACATGTCCATCATTTAGTCTTTCATTACTTCTTTCCATATAAACCAGACATATTTACATACACCAGACATACCACTACAAGGGCAAATGGTTTATTTCTCCTAGACTGTTTCCATTATCCAGGCTAGCTCATTTATAGCTAGTTCAACTAGCTCTACACTGCACCACAGTCTGCAGCATAGACAGTACCAGTGTCTCAGAAGGGAGAGATTTGTTTGTTGCCACGATAAAAAACTGCTAGTAGAATTTTCTGACTGAGAAACCTTTCAGCAATTAACAGGGTTGAAAACTGTAGCTTCTGAGGCTGACTTGCCTCTAGAACTTGCTATGACACTAATAATGTCTTATCTAAGAGTCTTCTCCTTCAATGAGTTCTTGAGCCCAAATCCCAGAGCTGAGCATCAGGATTTGGAGTTCAGAATCTGGGTCCCTCTGCTCTAAAACAGGGGAAACCAGAATCTTGAAGCCAACAGCTACAAATTGGTGGGGGCTTAAAAATCAAGACTTAGGTACAAGTTTAGGTAGTTCTGGTCCCACTCTGGCCTTGATGGCAAATTATGTTTCAAAATGTGCCCAAGTTGTGTCCTTATAAAGACTGAGGCCAGGTCTTTTGCTGTCATCACTATGTCTGTGAAAGAAGTTTCATTCCTGACTGATACAGCTGGGCTACCAGAGGTGTAGGTGCAATTTTATAGGAAAAGCCTTGGTCCCTATATGAATTATTTTGCTTGGCAGGGCTGGAGTAAGTTCTACCAGCAACCATACAGTTTTGCTGTGCTGTGCTGCATGTGCTGTAACATTGTGTGGCCATTGCAAGTACCAGCATATCAGTGTCACCATATTGGCAAAGTACTCCTAGGGTGGACTGGTCCATGTTTCAAGTCTGATAAGTGATCCAGATAAGTTTTATAAAGACTTGAGTTGTGCAAAGCATATTTTCGCATGGCTCTGCAACAGGTCTCAGCTCAAATTTTCAGAGGCATGAGGCATCTGTGCCTAGGCAATTTTACAACATGACTTCCTCTGCTAGTTGCTATAAGAAGGTTAATACTAATTGCCATTTGTCACTTTACAATTTTAAAATACTTTACAAGTATTAAACCTGTGGATCCAGACTGGGAGGACCCCTGCAGTTCAGATCTGGCCCTGTGCCCAGAGTGAGTTTGACACCCCTGACTTAGTGGGTCACTTTGCAAAGCTGGGAAAAGAACCCAGGTTCTCAGTACATCCTTAGAGTGCTGAGCCGTGTTCCCAGAGTAAAATTTGTAGCTATACCCTTTTCCAAAAAGTCAAAGTTATATATGTAGGTACCTGTGTCAGACATTTGCCCATCCTTGTGAGCCAACAGGAGATGTAATGACTGCCACTGGAAGTCTAAGACACCTGTTTTCAAAGTCTTCCTGCCCCCAGTGAATTTTGATATCCTTTTAAGGTTTCTGAGGTTCGGAACTGTGACTTTTCTTTACAAGTTGTCTATTCCATGGCCCTCTGTTATAAAATACCATCCAGTTCAGGACAATTTCTTTCTGCCCAAACATTCGGTACTTGCACCCGATATGCACAGAGATAATCAGCCCCTTCCTTCAGTGCCGGATATAAATGTGTTCTGTTGCAGGCACATGCAAATTGTAAAATTTCAACTCTTCAGATTTTCTGAGTGTAAAAATGGAGTCTCATGGAAAGCAAGGAGAGTGTCCACTTTCAAGAAGACACTAATATTAAGATACTAAAACAGAGGTGAGCATTTGCTTATGAAAGCTTACGCATCTTTGAATAAGTTAGTCTGCAAGGTGTAACTCTTCTCTGGCTTTTGCCTAACTTGCTGTGGTGGGTTTGAAAATAAAACAACATAGGTGCTGGAGTAAAAGTGAGCAGTGTCTGTTAAAGTTAATGGTACTTTTTTTAAGAAGCAAAACCAATTACGTCAGACCGAATGCTTGCCTGTCACACCAGAAGGACTCTAGGCTCAAAAAACTTCCTTCAGGCAGAGAATGGCTGGTTCTTAGATACTTAAAAGGAAATAAAGAAATAGAGATATATTATGTGGATTCTGAATGTGTAAAGCTCTGTGGTTTAAGTGCTCCAAATGTATCCTGTTTATATAGCCTTAACAAACAATGAACAATAATGCTGGTACACTGAAGAGCAGTTCTGTCATTGGGAGCTAAGGGAGCTCAGTGTCTCAGAGCCCCAGGTCTAAAGGTAGAAACAACAATCATTTTATACAACAAAGATTAGTAACATATAAGAAAATACTGTTTTATATTTTGGGATATGCTGTCAGCACAAAGTCTGCTGCAGCAGAGTAGAAATGGAAATGGTTAGCCTGATTCTTAGTTACACAAAGATCCCTCACACTGCTCTGATGCAGAAGGGACCTAAAGTGGGCAGAAACAAATAGTTTCTCTAACTACTGCAGAGGTGGCTGGAAGCCCTTTTTCCAGACCTGTTTCCTGCTGTGGCATAAAGCTCTGTTGTGGACATGTCAGGGCAGAGGTCAGAGTGCACTGCACTAAGGCTGTCCTAAACTTCCTGCAGAGCGCAGCATAAATTACAGTGAACCTGAGTCTATAATGCTAGGACCAAGCAGCCCCTTTGGCACCAGAATTATAGATTACCACAACTAAGAAACAGGCAAAGAGCTGTTTGGACTATCTCCAAGAACAATGCTTCTCAACTGTCCTGGATCTGCTTCATTGTTGGGACTACATTTTATTACTCTCAGTTCTCTGAAGAGTCAATTTTAAATAAAGGAATAATAATGCATTGTGCTGGTAAAAAGCCATAAAACATACATGCATGGGCAGTTGTGTTCAGACTTATGTCCTATACAGATTACAGTCACAGGGGATGGGAGTGCATAATGATTACGCTGGTGAGCAGAGCTGACATTCTATCTTAGAAAGATCTTAGTGTGCACACACATTGTAGGAGGACCCCTAATCACAGTAAGAGATTGGTTGGCTCTAAGTGTATAACCTGTACTGCATTCCACTGAACCACAGAATCACAGAAAAGTAGCGCTGAAAGGGACATCTGGAGGTCATTTAGTCCAACCCCCTGTTTGAGACAGGGTCATCCCTAGTCAAACCATTTCATACACATTCTTGTCTAAGCTTTTACTCAAACTACCCCCTAAAACATTCAACCATCTCACATAACCACTGTGGCAGAAAGCCACCTCGGTTTCTCCCCAAAAAAATCTCTGCCCTGTGGCACTGTGATTTAAATCTCTGTGCTGTGACCATTCAATTAGGATGGGCCCAGCACACAGGGGACCACACCCTCAGCCTGTCTCTTTAGGGAACTGGAGCTGGCTGCATTCCTGAGGGAGGGGGAAACCTGCTCCCTCTGCCTACGTGACTTGCATCACTTACCTGG